CGGTCTTACTCATAATCCACAGATACACTACTGAGGTTGACGGATCATCGATCTAGACACCATCTGATATATTCATCATTTTATATGATCCATGGGCTTTGCTTTATTAGGAATCCCATGCCTCTTGGCACCTTATGAGATGGCTCACCAACTGATACATTTATCATCGAGTGACTGGGACTCAATTTCTTGAATGGTTTATGATTGATGCTACTTTGCCCATATCATTATTGTTTTTTGATGTCACCTTTAGACGGAGATTCTTCATCCGAACTGGAGTGAATAACACATGATAATCATCATGGTATGATTCAGAGATATCGAATTAGCAGAGCTCCTATAGTGGATAGTCTAAGACTTTGCTGTGATGTTTGGATACAGCTATCTCTTCTTGTTACTTTATTGTAAACTTTGAGATGACTAAATCAATTGATCCTCACTCACTCTGTTTTCCAGATGCTACACTTCGAGTCACGCGATATACTGTACCCTTTCTGTACCGTCAAGTGTATGTCTTGATAGATTTAGGCTTGGGTTATGTCTTGAGAAGTATGAATTGACCTTTGTTGTTACTCATTGGACCTTTTGTAGCTGAAATCATCCAGCCTTGACCACCTCCTGCTGATTCTACAAGCTACACACAGGTATATAACTAATTATCTATGATAAAGAGCTATACTTCTTGTACTTTAAGTCCACTCTCTATGGATCAAAGCTGTTGTCATTGAACGTTGGGGGAGTAGTTATCGTTGATGCGTTGCTATGGTTTCACATTTGCTGACTGCGACCATCCGAACATCAAAATTGAGCGGGGGTTGAGAAAAAACATCAACAAAGCAAAGGGGACTTACTTATATCGACGCACTTTTTCCATTGACAGTTCAAGCATTGAGTCTTTGGAAGATGATGGTTTTAGGATGGAATGCTTCTGTGTATCACATAAGGCTAGTCCAAATGACTTGAATGGCTTTGAGTGACTGTGAAAGTCACAACAACAGCGCTAGAGGAAGAGATGGGAGTTTTAAGGGGTTCAACTACTTTACAAGAATTGGTCTTCCAATGAGAGCTTTGAAGCTTGACACGTTTATCAATGGATCATATAGACCGCCATCATTACTTTCTCGCCCAAGGAACTGGGTAACAAACTACCACTCTGTCTCATGCATAAAGTTTAGACATGTCTCTTTGGCTAAAGATTTTAACAACTAGATATCAACACATCTACGTATTTGAGTTGGCATTTCCATTGGTTCTCAACAAGAACAACTTGATGAAGTGTACCCAGTGATGGTATAGATATCATTGTCTTTCCACTTTCCGGTATTTGATGGTACTTCTTGGTTTCAATCTGCATTTTGTTGTGTATGAAACGCAAACTTGATATGGGTCGTGAAATAGCGAAGTCTTATACGACACAATTGGCATATCAAGTACACATCAGCAATAACACATTAGTGAAGACATGTCTATGTTGTGTGATTGATGTGGAAGCTTTCTCATCACTCTTCACTTAGCTACACCACCTCCAATCAGACTTGATAATGTTCACC